TATTCCCTTGCCCCAGGCTAACTCCAGACCATCTCTACAAAATACGATTCAACACAATCCCTGGAACAAGACCAATTCTTCAAAATGTCTCTGATAGTGTTAAGTGATACTCAAAGCTCCTTCTTTGAAGGTCTCTCCTTGACCTATTCCACCTCCAAAAAGTGACCATAGAAACAAAAGCATTTGAGAGTGTCACGTACGCACCATAGGAAGGCTGGTACTAGGACTATAGTCGTTTCCAGGCTTATAAGGGGAGGATGCTACAGAGAACACAGTGTCTTTTTTTTTAGCTCTGCATATAAAACAGAGCACAATATACCTCCTGTTGCAGAGTAATGAAGTCTGACCTTATAGAATACTGCACATATGTATTTCTAAGAAAAGCAATAAATTTCAAAAAACTCCAAGGAGCAAAGCATTTAGCATGTAACACTAACGAGAAATTAGACCTTTTAAAACTTGTCAGTTATGCTGCACGAAGACCATGATTAACAGAAGGATGCAAAAGACAGACAAGGATGATTTCGTTTCTCATGTGTGTATGTGTATGTTCATGCTCATTAATATCACCCTCCCGCACACCTCTGGGACTGATTTACACAGTAGAGTTTCTATCTCGTCCTCTGAATCCACAGTCTTCATAAATCTGCTGAGCATCAAATCCCTTGAATTAAATTGCACTTCCAGGACTTCAAAATAAAGCTTTTAACACATCTCTAGGCATTAGGCACTTCTGCACCCAGGACAACTCAAATTTTGACTTGAAGGCAAATTCCAACTTGCGACCCAAACTACTTACCACTGCTAACGCAAGAGGGCGCTGGGGAGGATGACAATCAGYAGGTGATATGGTAGATTTTTGTGATACTTTAAATACCTAAAATCAGGCAGCCAGGTCTGTGAATTAAGTGTTGCCCAAATCTTGGTTTTACAGCATTCAGAAGGAGGCTCAGAAAAGTCCCAAGAGCCAAAATATAAAGCAGCAAGAGCTCTAAAGCAGAGAACCAAGAACTCCTATCAGAGGCTGTTGCCAGAAACCATGTTTCCTGCACAGGCTACCTACAGGTCTAAGTCAGGCTCAGTATCAGCTGGTATTCAGTGTGCAAGACTACTCACTTAAGCATCTTGTTACAAAACCAGAAGCAGCTAAATTTCTACTTGGTAGGGCTACCTGCTAGTAACAACATAAGAATGTTTTCCACTCTTCCTACAGAAGCTCTCAGGACCTATGAAAACAAGCCTCAGCTTCACCAGGACAGGACATCAACAGCAGCACAATCCAGACAGGTGGCAGGACATGCTCCCAAGAACAGAGGGGCTGCAAGTTCTGCTCACCAGGATGCACTGCCTTCATACAGCCTGCATCCACTTTTGCAGACCTGCAGCYACATTTCAATCACAGGGACAGGTGAAGAATCTCACAGGGATGACTTTCCAGATCATGCTCCTTCCTGGCAGATGGGAGCTGCAGTCACAGAGCTCTGACTCATAACTCCCAGGAAATACAGCTTCCTGAGCATGTAGCTGCTCTGAGTCACCCTGAGGAGTCAGGCTCCAGCTACACTGGGATCAGCGCCTGGCTATTTTTTGGGATTTGTATATTGGACGAGGAAGGACCATACTCAGTGACTTTATTGAAGCACTGCTGTTACTAGAGGACTTCACAAGAGCAAGAATCAATAGACATGCACAGTACAGGCTAGAGGCAAGAGGSAAAGAGCTTTTATGCCACAAGTATCAAATTGTAGGCTCAGGCCAATAAGCAGGTTTGGTTCAGCCTCCCTGCTGCAAAGGRCCCTCCCCTGTATGAGGCACATTAGACTTGGATTTTCCAAACTGTTCCCCTGAAACCCAGATAGGATTGTTGATGCCTATATACCTAAAGAGTGGCTGTAACATCGAACTGAGTTGGAAACCTGTGATAAGGCATTGGAAAATGAGAAYTTGAGAGTAGCCTTAAAGTTTATTAAGGCTGCATTAGGATACAAGGCTCTGAATTATGAACCAGGATCCCCCAACACTGGGAGCATTACAGACAGACAACAGTCTAACAAGAGTTTGCAGYCCAAATAATCACTTTCTAATTTCTTTTTTAGGGTCAATAAAGGGGGCAGGGGAAATTGAGACTTCAACGAAGTCCATCAAAATAAAAAGAATGCAACAACTTGTACTTGTGAGAATTGACCTCTTATTCTTTTCAATTAGTTCACATTCTCTACAGTATCCCATTGCCACTGCCTTGCTGGTGCCTTTGTGCTGTATCATGCTTAATTTTAGCCTCATATTTCATTGAAGCTGTTCAAGGTCAGCAACAAATCAACTAATTATGAGAGAAAACAAGATCCTCTGAAAACTATCAAGTCCTCATTTCAAAATTCAGAATTCAAGCTTCATCTGAAGCAATCTGCCCCTCTGCCAGCAGTGCTGCAAATGTGCTGGGAAGGTCAGGATTGTCTCCGTGCAGAAGGAAACCAAAGCAGGGTSGAAGGGTATCTGACCTCCAGGCTGCAGAGCCAACACCTCAGCAMAAAGTTACGAAGCACAGGTGCTTCCTTTCCATGTGATGCATTACTGAAATGCCAAGTTGCAGGAGCCCTCACAGCCCTTTGCTCCCACCTGGGCAATGGTCTAGATTTTATACTCCAGGGATGCTTGTAAACACTGTATGAACAGTGGCTTTGGAGACCTCCTGCAGCTTTTCCTTCGGAGTGGCTTTCTTGCCTGCATAAGTAAGCAAGGAGAAGACATGATGAGATGTCGTTTTGTTGTTCTGTCTTTCCTCTTCTTTTGCAAAATCCATTTGGAAGAATAACAGCAGCCTGATAGCAAGAGGTGATTACTGAAGTTCCCATCCTTTATTTGTAGCTCCTGGAGTGGAATCAAGAGTACTGGCAAGCTATAGTGGCTTAGAACTGGTCTCTTTGATAGAAATAACATTAAAACTCTGTAAAATTTTTACCTATGTCCTTTGCATAAAAGCAGGGGATAGGAAGGAAGAAAGGAGGAGATGTGAGGAGACATTAATGCCCCAACAGATGAAAAAAAGCAAAAAGAATCACAACGGCATGGTGTTTGGGGTGGGAGGAGAGGGAACGTCACACTCTACATGCTCAGCATTTTGACTACTGGGTTTTAATAGCTGTAAAAACAGGAGGTCCATGGGAATCACATAGATGAGGACCCAAAGACTTAATAAAACGGAGGGAAAGGAATGGCAGCCATTAGATTGGGCCAGCAACAGAAACAATTCCTTCACATAAATGAAAGGAATTACACTGGAAAATACATAATACAGAGCTGTGAAAGAGACAGGATGAYTTACTGCAACTTCTATGCCTCATACTTCAGAGTAATGATGTGAAATTTGGCAAGGACGACTATGCCCTTCACATGAACCCTTTACCCCAGCATCCCAAACACGCTTCATTAAAACAACTTCCATTCACATATACTCAAGGAAAGGCTTGAAGTCAATTGGCCAGGAGTTGACAGTAAAACTTTTTTCTCTCCCCTAAACCTAAACAAAAAAAAAGAAAAGGGGTCCATAAACAGAACACAACCATCCCTTCCAGAATCTGCAACAAGATCTGAATCCAGCTTCAACTATCCTCTAATTTTCTGCATGTACCATTTAACCTTAAACCAACTTCATCCAGACCTGTCCAAGGTCTTCATCCTATAGGTAAAGACCTACTACTACTTCCTGATATTTCACTAGCTGAAGCAACAGTAGTTGACTGCATAACTAAAGTTTTACCACAATGGTCATGCTCAAATTGAGACCAGATTTTTATTTATTTATTTTATTTTTATTTGCACTTTTGGGCTTTACATGCTTGACTTCAAAATTCCAAATTTTTCCAAGCATATCAACTTTCAGGTATTTCTCTGCACATCAAAAGCACATAGCACATTTCATTCCCCCGCCACAAAGTCTTTCTCAGCAAGAATAAGCCCTAACACAATTTTAATCCTCGGCAAGCTACAGCTCATTCTTCTCCAAGGCTGGAGGAGGCATTATGCACACACTCCAGTCCTTAAGGGAAGGACTCTCAGTGGATAAARGCAGGGAAAATGCAGGTAAGAGGTCATGGTGTTATTAGGAGCAAAAGAGGAATCCAATATGGAAGTATGGAGGAAGAGCACAGTATTACAAGTGCTAAATACATTTTGCCCATTGCMCTACAACTTTTCATTCTCTCCCTCTCTTTCCTCGGTTATCATGTCAATGTCTTTGACTAGCCCCCTAAAACCATTATGAAAATGCTGGTATGACTCCATTTAGACTGGCAAATAGGATCAGTTATAAGCTATACCTTAAAATACACACACAGTCCCATGCATCCCTTGTTCACATGAACCTCTCACCACAGCTGCTGTCGAGGGCCAGATACCGAGGTGTAAAACTGAACATTACCTGATTAAGAAAAAAAGGCAAAGAGCTGTACACCAAGGAAAGTGCCACATTTTGGACCAGGTTCAGTAAGAGGATGTTTGTTTTCTTCACTTGTTTGCTTTTAAGAAATGCCATCCCTATTTGCTATGATTTATAAGTCCATACATAAATAATTCTGGGACAAATTACCAAATGTTGTGATTTTTGAAGCATATTTTCTATGTATTTATGTGCATAAGCCACTGCACATTTTTAAATATTATATTTCACTGGATCCTGCATCTTCTAGGATGCTATCTTGCCACAAATGTGTCCCATATTGTCAGTAGAACATTAATTTCAACTTTGACAAATGTAAATGCCACTGATTTGTAAAAGCTGAAATCCACCAGTAAGAGATTCTTTAAATACAGATTACCACAAGGCAAAGAAAAAATATAGCCAAGAAATCCCCTTCTGCCTTCTCTTGTAAACAACCAAATTGACAGGAGAAGTTGATGTTGCAGTGCCTCCAGTATGCTGGGCCCTGCGGTTTCATTCGGAGAGTCTCGGTTTAGGTCAAGATTTGCAGCTGCTGTTGCAGGGATTTTCCCAGCTCTGTACGTATCAGGTGTTGGCTGATGCTTTGAGCACTGAGACCTGTCATCACATTGACAAGGTGTGACATAAGGGGAAGTTACACAAGCAACAAGGCAGAAATATGAAAGAAAATCTATGCAGATACTAACCAACATTTTAGCTAGAAATTGTTAAAAAGGTTTAGAGTTCCCTCAGTAAGAGAGAAGGGTTTTTTTGATCCCAATCTTGTGATATATTACTGTGTCATCTACTATATAAAGCTCCACTAAGAAAAAAAAGCAATAGAAAATTTTTGAAGAACTAAGCTGTCATTCTGTGCTATGCCATTAACTCAGGGGTGGGTCTGCCAAGGGGGCGCTTACCACTATATGACTGTTTCAATCTGAAAAATGAGAAAATTTAATCCTGGTAGAATACATTAATCTTTACCCAATTCTATGTGACATTGTCAGCAGTTAATTTAACAGCAGAGTTTCACAAATGAAAGATCAATGCAGGGGAACTTCCTCTGAATTCTTAGTTTATGCAAAGAACGTTCTAAAACCTAGAGCCCAGATCGAAGATGCCTGGAGTCCTGGAGTTAACTAAACTAACAAGCAGTCAGACCAAAGTTTCATATATACATGGTCAAACCCTGAGGTCCTCTACTGACTTCTTTCTGTCTTGAACTCCTATAGGTTTCCAGAGGTGGAAAATGTGACCAAATCAATGATATTATTTCCTTCTAGTAATGAACTCCATATGTTCTCCAGACCTTAACATATCCACTGCTACATTAAAACAGAGTTGGGTCTACAAAAAATCAGTTAAAAAAACCCAAAACACTACTAGAGCCAGTTTTAATAGTTCTTTCCTAGGAAGCTATGAAAGATACTTCGCCCATAAACATAGGTTCCAGGAGTCAAGAATGTGAGTGTTGCCCACATCACTCAGGCAGGCTTGAGAGATACAACACTTGTTTCTAGTGTGGCTGATAACTGCYGTGCTACATCTGAAGGAGAAAGACACCTTGTGGCAGAACATTAGTACAGATCCGCATTTTTGCTTTCTTGTAAAATAGTTACTTCACCCATTGGAGCTTTCCAAGTCCATCAGAAAAGGTACGTGTGGGTAAGCATGAGTATTTCAAGTTCCCTGGGCTCATACCCTGCCACAAGTTGACGGTTCCCTCAGCAGGTTCCCTGCTTTTGTGTTTTGGGAAASAGGGTCTCATACAACAGCCCTGACAGCTAGTTTAATCCAGTCTTGATTTACACTTAACAAATGCAACTTTATTGTCTACACACCAGTAATTTCCACATCCTATATGCCATTTGTGCATCAAGAATAAAATTAGATATTTTTGCATTTAACCATAAAGAAATGAAGCAGAAAGTTCAGCTCAGATTTGACCAAAACAGTACAAAGAAGGTATTAATAGTAGCTAAAAACCACCATTCTGCTTATTCAAAATAAAGGGCAAGAATGATGGTGGGGAAGATGCATACACTCGCTTCCATTATGTACAGTGCAGCAATCAGCTTGGACACCTTTGACTCTTGACCAGTTTGTACAGCACCAGTTTTCAGTTTAACAGCCAGCATCAAATGTGTAAGATGGAGCTCAACTGTGAGTAGCACACATTGCACAGAGTCCATATCCAGGACAAGTTCACCTTTTAAATAAGGCTACCCCAACACCAGTTTTAACAGCCGTGTTAGCAGCTCTGATAGAACAAGAAGCATTTGTTTGCCTTTCTAGCAAGCCACATCTGACTCAATTAGGATGTATGAGATTCTTCAGATTTGGTTTCCTTAAAAAATTGGTCTGATTAGTAGTATTTCAGTATTTTCCACATTCTCCAGCTTTCATTTGTAGAGAAAAGCAAAACACAGCTCTCAGATATTGCTTAGGATGCAATGTGTGAAATTAGCTAGAAAAATAACCCATGAAGAACAATCTGTGACATTGATTGTCATGTCATTTGAATTAAGCAAGGTGGGAAGGATAACTGTGAGGATTTATTCTGATGTTATGACTCGCTATTAGAAGTGAACTGGGAAAGATTTGCAAAAGAGCAGGATATTTCATTCTTAGGATGTTGCAATACAGTCCATTCAGTGGCCAGTATTAACTGCCACCTGGTAATTAGCTGCTGCCCTGAGCCAGAGATATTGACAGTGTCAGCGGAATTTAAATCAAGTTACTCATGTCACAGATTCATCATTGATGGCAATAATTTGATTGTTAGTGCTTATCTGAAGAAGGGTATCAAAGATGTGTGGCAAGCTTAGACTTGTGCAGAAAAGTTAAGGGCTGCAGCACTTTTTAGAGGCAGACAAGGATCAGAACTGGTTTTGCTAGACTTGACAGAACTAAAAGCAGACCAAAAACCCATGCAAAATTAAGTATAGCAATTTAAACAGTTCTATTTTATAGCTATAGTTAAGCTATTTAAACAATTCTAATTTTCCAATAATCTGTTTTTTTCCAGTAACCACAATGACAATGATGATGTCTCAAAGAAATTACAATTTCTCACCACAGTTGATTGGGATTACTTTAACAAAAAGGTGCTCTACCATCTATGTTTTACACTTAATATGAATGTATAGTTGCTGTATCCCTAACTAAATTTTAAAACTGGAATATATATGGTATTATTGAAACTATGCTGTGTAACTTTCCTGTGGAAAAACAAGAGAAAACATACTAAAAAGTGGGAGAAGCCTGAGAATGTCATTTAGTAAAGTCCAGACATGATTCATGGTGCTTAAAGTCATTAGTATCCTCGATCCAAATAAAACAGAAAGATTAAATTCAGGTGCTGTACAAATAGATACTTTCTAGTTCTATTTGGAGAGGGATAGATTTAGAGAAAAAAATGAGCTTACAGAGGGGATCAACAGTATATTACAGCTTTGATAGCAGACAAAAATCTCTAKAGTACATCAAAAGGTGCAAGGGACAGTTAACTACTCCCTGTTAATCATTTACTACATATTGCCAAGAAATCACTCTTTTCTCCCTAATGAACTACAAGCAGCAGGTCACACAGCATTCCCTTTGCTTCTCAGATAAAGCTCTTCAAACACCTACTAGCCTCAGTCTATTTTTTACATAGAATGCCAGCAGCAAAATACAGTCTTTGCAAAGGCAGCCCAGCAACAAGACCRTCCACAGAGCTCTGAGAGAGACCTCTAGAGCAACTAGCACCTGAGAACGGCGGTTGGGTTGTACTCATCATGGATGTCTGGACAGGAGGACAAGCGCATCCTAGGCACAGCACCCTGCGTCGGTCGCTCTCTGCGAGCACGGCGGGGAAGTGGAGGTTTCCAGGCCATCTTGTAACCATCTCTAATCGCACAAACATGGCCTTTGGGGCCTCCTGTCATCATGGTAGCCTAAAGCAATGGTGCTAAGCTACCAATCACACCTTCCCTACAGCAAAAGGACAAGCAAGGAAACTTAAGAGCAGACACCTCTGACATGGTTTCTCTTGAATTCTCGCACATGTGCTGCATCATTCTGATGCATGCTACAAGACATTGAAATTCAACAGCCAAGTGATAAAAAATATATTATGAATTAGTCCACAGCAGCTCTTCYCCGAGATGGTTAGTCTGAAATGCCCATCATCTAATTATAGCAAATTTGGTGAAAAGCAAGTCAGAATCAATCAGTATCATTTAACAGAATTATAAATATTTCCTACAATYATATCAGGATAGCAGTTGGCCATAATGCCAAAAAGAGTCTTGAAAATGGAAAAGTTATAAATAAATAGATAAGCTTTTTGTTTGRTTTGCTTCCCGCTTAGAAAAGAATATGATTTTTTCATCAGGCTAAAAAGAAGTTCAATAGTGTTTTCAGGCACTGACAGAGTAAATTGAGACTAGAAGCAGAAATTAGACCAATTACTTGCCTGACCTTGTGAATCACTGTAATGAAGGATGTGGGTTTACACTTTCAAATTCACCAAATATTGCCGCATTTGCCACATGTTTAAGGCTCCACCCTGTAGGGAATCACAGTCATCTCCATTTCAAAAAAAAAAGGAACTCATGCACAAAGACCATCTGAAAGGAGCTCTGGCCAAATCCCTTTCCCCTTTCCCTTCTYATCCTAAGCCACAGAAAAAGGAAGCATGGATAAAGGCTGAGAGTTGCAGCAGAGGATGCCTTGTGGCTAAAAACAGGCTCCTCTGTGCATCAGGGCACTATTTCTGGAGGGATACTTGCTGTGCAGCACAGGGCAGCCAGCGAGGGCAGCCGTCTGCAGCAAAGCAGCTCAAGCTCCAAGCAGAGCACTGCGCTAACACGTTCAATTTGTTCAGCATTAGCTTGGCTACCTCTGCAGGGCACCTGCAGAAAGAGCCTGTCATCAGGCCCCAAACACTGTGCTAACAATCTTTCATCTCAATGTCCCTCAGGAGCAAAGAATGAAAGACACGTCAATGGTTGCTTCTTCACAGSAATGATGCCCCTTTCTGTTTGCAAGCTCTAAATTAAGAGCATTTCTTGTGCTTTCATGTGTACTTTTTAAAAAATAATAAATTCTTACAAAATTGATTCTTTTATGTCTTAAGAAATTCACYAAGTATGTTTTCCTGAAATTGAAAAGGGAGCTTAGCAGAGTGATTAGATCCATTCCCCAAAAAGCTTCCACAGTTTTTACAATCAATCAAGAAACAAGTGTTGACACTCCAAAATATGAAGAAATATGGTTACTTTAGCTGCCAGCAATTGTACCAAAAGGACAACATAAAGAACAAAATTTTATCACATATTTAATCACTCTCAGATGAAGCACACAGCCCTAGAACGGTAATCCTGTATAAAAGCAAACTGGATTAAAAAGCAACATGGAAAAATATACATATCTATCTGGAATGTGACACCCACCCTCACAGTACTTTAATATTTTATCATGACTTTTTTCCCCCTCCTGAAGTTAGCTTTAARGTGCCATGGCAGCTAAAAACATCCTGTAGATTACGGAGAAAAAAAAAAATCAGCACTCTTCCTGCTTTCACATATGATAGTTCTCACCATCAAACCTGTGCCACTTGATTATGATAA